ACATAATTTTTTTTTTTTACATAATTTTTTTTTGCTAACTAAATAAAATCAGTGCCCCCCCCCCCCCCACCCCACCCACACATCCGTCCCTGAGAATATGTAAAAAATCTGTATTTTTAAGTACTTTGAAGAGATCTTTTTTTCTTTTTTATTTTTTGCCTGGTCAAAACTCTCTACAACTTCTACTTGAAATATGATTTCTACGACAATTAAAAAGTCTTTCCGGCCTCCTAAGGTTGTGTCTCACTTAAGTTATTAATTAACTCATTTATTAATTTGTTTTAAATATTTTTTTATAATGTCGATAGGTAAAATATGGATTAAAACTGAATTAAACAGCACATAATTGTTTGGTTTGATTTGATTTGAAAAATAATGATTTGGTTTGGTTTAGAAAAATATCAAATCGCAGAAAATGATTTGAGTTGAAAATATGATGCAAACTATCCAAATTGAACGGCATTCACCCCTAGTTCGGATCAGCCTTTCTATTACTATAGTAAGTATTTTTAGATTATTAAGAGAAGAAATCAATATTTCAAAAACATGTTCTTCTTTTGTTCTTAACTCCTAAATAAAGTGATTTTCTTGAAAACATATTTTTTAATCTTTATTTCATTATTACAAAATGAAAACACTGTCAGATGTTAGCCTTGTTCCAAAATGAAAACATTCTACAATCATATTTAGTGTACAATTATGGACGACGATCTTGCTGATAACATGTCATGTGACAAACTGTCGATAGACAATTTGACAAATAATTTATTTTTGCAACTAACAGTTTTTTGACAACTCATACATCAACAATATTGCCATTCATAATTGTACAAATAGATTAATCCAACATTCTATAGATTTATTATGTTACCAGGGGCATAGCATAATCAAATGATATGAATAATATGTAAAACAATTGGTCCCTATCATCATTGTCACTGCTGTCTTTATTATTTTTGCGATAACTATATGTCACAATTATAGTTTGATAGTCGATATGTTACATTTCCAAAGTTGAGGACTCGATCC